GTCCTTGGGCTCAAGATATCTTGTTACTTCTCAGCAAGAGGAATCTGTGGATCTTCATTTCCATTCTCCTCCATCCTTCTCTGGTTCCTGCTATTCCCAGACGATCCCCTCCCCATCTACTCGCCCTTCTCTCACAGCTTCTGCTGACTCACAACCAGGGCTTACTCACAGCTTTTCTCGAGCTGCTACTTCGTCTCTTTGCGCATCTGTCCAATTTCTGCTCCTTCGGCTCACCTCCTGATTCCCCCTGACTTTCCAGTTGAAATTCCAGAGACAGAGACCCTGACTGGGTCAACCCATTCTCCATGTCAGCAGAGGTTTTGACCTCTGACTGTGGTCTGGGTCACCCACGCTGATTCAATCAGCTGTGGCTGTAGGCGCAGGGCGCGACAGTCTAGACGTAGAGAATTATCATTCCACTCAGCAGACGCACTCGGATGCGGCAGGTGCCTTTAACAACCTTGGCTGCAGCCCGAGGGCCATGCTGAGGAACTTGTACTTTAGGGAGACACCGAAGTTTTCTGACGAGGGCAGTGATGGACCACGTCTATTTTTTTTTTTTTAGAAGATAACTTTAGCTATCCTGCCAATGAGATGGTTTGGTGACGGAAGAGGCTAACACATGTCAGACCAGCTAGGAAGCCATGGCCAGGGAGAGCTTAAGAGAACTCAAACCAAGCCAAGTGACAGAGAGGAGGGAGCCGCCACATGGTCTTGAACCTGAAGCTGTCCACCAGGCACGTGACACTGGAGTTCTGCAGCAAGCCTGGGTCTACACACTTTGGAAGTCATAAAGACTCGAGTTAAAACTGTGGGGTGCATAGCATGGCAATAGATTAGCCAACTTGGGCATTTTGGGAAATCTCTCACATGGAAAGGGCAGAACACAGAAACACTTGACACGTGACTAAATCAGAAATGTTTATACAGACGGGTGGAGACTCAGAGAGCCACAGCATTCCACTAAAATAGGAAAGGATTTTTTCTTACTTACTCCCTAATTCTCAACAGTACAGGCCCACAAGCTCCTGCGTAAGATCCCACTGTATTTCAAATCCCAAGCTTCTGGCCTGTCTTCCCACAGACAGTAACGGTACTTCTTGGGAATCCACGCTGTTCTAAAAATATATCTGCTGGGCTGTGGGGCCACAATTAGTAAAGCTGCTGTCCCAAGAAACCCTCATCATCATTTTGCTTAGATCAGAGAGTGGATTAACTTTGATGTCTGCCTGAACCCCATGCGACACACCACTGGCGGTCTGCTCCCTGCAAGCTTTCAATCTCCACATCCAAGGGAGGAAGGAGAAAGTGCTGGATAGCGCCCAACCCAATTTTCCCCCAGTGATTGAGATGAAAATGTGCACCCTAGGATTTCTGACATATTTGACTTGCATCCTCTCTCCCTGTACGTGAGTACTTCCCCCCAGACCCACACATCCTTCCGCTTTCCCAAACATTAGCACAGAGATGAAGCCCCAAGCACTTTTGTCTATGCCATGTGTAGGAGGGAATTGTGTTAATTTCTGTATCTGTTAGGGCTCCTGGTGGCATGCCACTGTAACTGATCTGACTAACTGAAGTCCAAGGGGAGTTTACGGGAAGCACGTAGGGTGGCCTGCAGAATATAATGAACTGTAGAGAAGCATACTGCAAGTGGAGCAATCAGGGAAGCTTGAGGATTACAGGCAAGTGGGAGACATACAATAATCCCACCAGAATATTGGCAATAGAAGAAATCCTCTGCAACAATGCTGTCTCTCTTTGTGTCACTGTCCTCATTATTTTTATTTCTGGGAGAAAGAGAACAATTGGATCAGGTTGAATAATACCCTGGCAACACAAACTTCCTAGCTTTGCAAATCAATATAGACGGGCGGTTAAGAGCAGTCTCTGGAATCCTGGTTCTTTAGTTTGCTAGCCATGTGACCCTTGGGCAGCTCATTCTCACTATGCCCCAGCTTCCTTCTTTGAATGTGGGAATATCTATGCACAGACATTGATGAGTGCTGAGTAAATTTATGGTAGTGATCGCACAGATTGAGTGTTCTAACAAGTTTGATGTTAGTATTGATTAGGAACACACAGGGCCCTTGGATTAGTGGTCCAACCAAAATTGCCAAGACAAGAGGTCGTTCTCCAAAAGCCATTTGGAGCTGTTATTAGAGGAGACTGAGTCGGGCAAGAAGTGAACTTCCGATAGGACAGGGCACAGGTGGCTCACGCCTGTAATCCTAGCACTCTGGGAGGCCGAGGCGGGCGGATTGCTCAAGGTCAGAAGTTCAAAACCAGCCTGAGCGAGACCCCGTCTCTACCATAAAAATAGAAAGAAATTAATTGGCCACACTAAATAGTATTAATATAAAAATCAGCCGGGCATGGTGGCTCGTGCCTGTAGTCCCAGCTACTTGGGAGGCTGGGCAGGAGGATCGCTTGAGGCCAGGAGTTTGAGGTTGCTGTGAGCTAGGCTGACACCGGGCATACTGCGCTGCGCGCGCGCCGGAGAGCAGAGGGAAGCGAGACTCTGGTCTGCAAAAAAAAGGAAAAATTGAGAGGTTCCGGGGGTGATGTGACTGCCGACAGTGTACGATATCGACCTCCACCACACTGTGGATGCCATGAGGACAATAGACTCCGCTATTTTCTTCACTGCTGCATTCACCAGCACCAGAAAAGTGTCTAGCATGCCGTGCCTGGCTCAGTGAACCATTGCTGAGTTCACCAACATTCAATGATTCCTTTGTGTTCCCAATCAACTATTAATAGTACAGTGCTTTGCATGGAGTAGGCACACAATAAGTATTTGCTGATTGAATTGATAGCTCAGTGGGAAAAGAAAAAGTGGGAGAGTGTGGTTTTCTTAAAAACTGGGACTTTAGGTATCCCCATTTCTTGCATTTGGTAGGACTCTGTGGCAGGCAAGTAATAAGTAACTGTTTCGATGTGTTGATGTCAATAATCTATACAAATGGCATAGACGGGCTAATCATTTCTGTTGGTCAGCTAATACCTTTAGATCAGCATGAAGGGGACAGAGAAACCACAAGCCACTTGCCATATCACCTTGGAGAGGGAGGAGTTCACCTTCTACATTGGACCTGTGCTGGCAAAGGCACTGTGGCACTTTGCCAGCACTTAATCCTGGTACCTCACCAGGACGCCCCATTCTCCTAGCACCCTCCATACTGGCTGCAAAGGACTGCAGCTGGGGCTTGGCGGGCCATCCTGCCAAGCTTGCTCACGGAGACAGCAAGACATCATGAAAGCTTCAGGTCTCTGGCTCTCAGTAATAATTGGGACTGACCTCCTTCTCAGTCTCTCAGTCCCCCAGTAGCTCCAGAGTTTCATTCCTTCAAGACTATGGTTGGCGCAACTTGGGTCATGTGGCCAGGTGGAAGTGATTACACTGGGCATTCAGGCCTGAGTCCTGTGCCAGCCAGTCCCTGTGGCGAGGAAGCTTGGTCTGGCTTGGTTATATGCTTAGCTTCCAGGGCTGGGAAGAAGTCTGATGAGGGCGGGGAGCCCCAGCTTACCTCATGGACCAACAGTGGGAAAGGAGTCGTTTCCCAAAAGGGATTCAGGGTACTGTTAACGGAAAAAAAGGGACGTGGCCACTGGGCTGCTAAAATGACAGATGTGCACTACACCTGGGTATTTTCTGTCATGTGACATAGAGCAGGTTCCCTTTGTGCTATGAAGTCTTCTGTCCTCACCCCAACGAGCTCTTGTAAGTGCCTGGGGAGCAGCCGCTCACTGCAGTCATCTGTTTTCCTCCTCTGAACTTCTGCAGCCCACAGGACCACATCATACGCTCATCGGCAAAAGCCTAGTGTTGGTCATCGGTTATCCTTTTATGTATATTTTCATGTCTTCATCTATGTGGCAGGATCCTGGAGAGGAGGGGTCACATCTTATTTATCTTTGTGCCCCCCAGCACTTGCCTGGTGTCTGGGGCATGGCAAATAGTCCATAAACCTGCTGATGGATGGAACAATTCATTTATATGCTTTCACAGAGGTAAAGGGTAGCTTCATGCAACTATAAAACTACTGAGAATGAGGAAAACTTGCTCTCCACTCTATTTTGGAAAGACTGTAGATCTTTTCTGGACTACATAATGCTGCTGGGGTCAAGATAAATATCCTCTTTGCTCCCCAGCCCCAGATGTGGTATCATTCCTATTTATAAAGGACTGAGTGAAGCCCCAAGGAATCTGAGTCTCAGCTGCCCAGTTCCCCTAGGCATGGCGTATTCAGGCACACAGCCCTCCTGGAAAGGGCGTGAGGTGCAGAGGGTGGAGGATGAAAATCACAGGAAGAGGAAACAACCACCCAGGCACTAAGGCAGAGTCCCAAGGTCCCATGAGTGGGACTGATCCCTGTCTACTGACTCTTCATCCTCATTCATAACCCTGACATCCCAGCACAGGGAACAGGGAGACAGGAGGGGATGGAAAAACGGAGTCAGAAAAGATACACTCGTAGCTTGGCTGCTGAAATAATATTCCTCCTAGGTCATGCTCGGTCCAGAAGCCCCCGTTGTTCTGGTTCAGAATCTCCCCACAGGCCGCCCTGGGCCTGGACTTGCCCTAGTCTCTCGTCCCTACAAACGGCTTTCAGAGTTTTTTCTCCAAAGCAGCCCAGCCCTGGTTGCTTCTCCCGTAAAATGAGCCGACTGACATAAGGATTAAACGAGCGGGCCATGGGAAGCATCGGCTCACTGTAGACAGCCACTAAATGTGAAGTTAGTGCGGGGAGGACGGGAAAGCGTGGCTGGTGAAGGAGGGGTGAAGAGGCCTGAAGGGTGGTGGGTGCAGCTGCTGAGGGAGGAACCAGGCCGAGGGCAGGGAATGGCACAGAACAGGGGTCCCAGCAGTGGAGCGCACAAAAGCTCAGTCCTCAGTCCGCCACCTGCGCCCAGCCCCGCCCCGCTCCCCTGCCCGAGGCCCCGCCCCCGCCAGAGGCCCCGCCCAGCCCAGCCCCGGGGCCCGCCCCTGGCCCCGCCCTTCGTCCCGCCCCCAGGGCCCGGAAGCGAAAGCCGCTCCACCTCTTCCGAGCGAGGTCACGGCCCGGCAGTGCGAATCGAGGTTTCCGAGAGTGAGGGCTGCTCAGCGGGGTCAGGGCGACCCCGGCCCGGCGCCATGTCCCGGAACCTGCGCACCGCGCTCATTTTCGGCGGCTTCGCCTCCTTGATCGCCGCCGCCTTCTACCCCATCTACTTCCGGCCCCTAATGAGGTTGGAGGAATACCGTGAGTGACCTCTGACCCCGCGCGGTGACCTGACCCCAGTAACTAACTCCCCACCCCCAGCCCCTGTCATCTCCACGTGGTGCCCTGGGAACGACATGTCTCAGGAGTCAGGTAGAGCCGGGTTTGAATCCCGTCGTGTGCAGCTTTGTGACCTCGAACAAGTGACTCAACCTCTCGGACCCTCAGCATCTTCATCTGTAATTATCTATATCTACGCTATAATATAACTGCCGAGTCTCCTGTGAGACTCGGGTGACCATATGAAAAGCATTATATGAAAGCAGTGTGCACATAATAAGCCAACACTAAATACTGGTTCATACTTAAAGTTAATATTCACTGAATGCTAATTATGTGTTAGGCATACGTTGGATTGTTTAATTTGCACAACCTCACCTTGAGGTACATTCGTAAAACATACCTGTTTTACAGATGAGGGAACTGAAGCTCAGAGAGGGTTTACAACGTGCCCAAGGTCACACAGCTAGTAATAACAAGGCAGATATTCCATCCCAGGCCTGTCTCTCCAGAGCCTCCTGGGAATGGTGATGGGAGGCAGATGGAACCCAGATCATCCTGAGCTGAAAGGTATTTTTATTGCACTTCATTTCCATTCCCAAAGGTGTCTGAGCAGAAATATTTCAAACCCAAACTGTTAACCTGGGTTTTTGAGTTTTTCCTCCCTTTTCCCTCAAATCGTTTTTCAGATTCTGCTGGTTTCCTTCATTTTAAGCTGGTTGCTCACATGGTAATGGTGAATATCCTGGGAGTAATTTTCCTCCTTAATCATTCAAGTCCTATCATTGTAAAAGCCAAACTCTCCTTCCTCGAGACCTATACCTCAGCAAGGATTAGCACTTTGATACATCTGAAACCATCTGTCAGAGAGAAAATATTAGGCATTAGAGACTCATTTTGTTCTCCAGGAAACCTGAATCATCTTGAAGATGGAAGAGGGCCAACCCTGCCCCTTGAGAATATTAACGGAGGCTGAAAGCTTGGTGATTTGAAGGCTAAAGCTCCGTGTAAACGCTCTGCCCATTACAAATGTTACAGCATTTGGTTTCTGGAGGCAGAGCATTTTAAGTACACAGTCAGATTTCCTTGTAGCTTCTTTTCATCAGCCAAGACTGAAATGGCCTCTGTGTATTCTGCCTTCCAGCCTATCTGCATGCACCATACGTAGGAGTAAGGTGGGGCTGTGTGAAGCCCTGGATAATCTATTTCCATCAACCTTTTTCACTGGATCCCTGTCCCAGGCTATTTTATTAAGGCCACTAAAGTTGAACTTGGGACAAGGGGTTTGCTTTGGATCCCATTAGAAAAGTTGCAGTTACGAAGACTAGAGCAGTGGTTCTCATCTAGGAGTGATTGTATCCCTTAGGGGACATTTGGCTCAATCTGGAGACTTGTTTGCTTGTCACAGGTTGGAGCATGGGTGGTTAGTGTGCTACTGGTATCTAGTGGATAGTGGCCAGGGATACTGCTAAACTTTCTGTAATGCACACAGGACAAACCCTCAGGACAAAGAAGTACCCAGCCCATTTATGTATGTTTCAGTGCATGAGTACTTCCCATTGGAACAGTTGCCTACAATATTCAGTATAGGCTACACAGGTTTACAGCCTAGAAGCAATAGGCTATACCATCTAGATTTGTGTAAGTACACTCCTTAATGTTTGAACAATGATGAAATCATCTAAGGACACATTTCTCAGAAAGCATGCCCATCATTAAGTGACACGTGACTATGTTTTAATAAGGAAAGCAAAGTGATCAGATTCACTCTTTATAGGCATGACTCTGTATGTGAAGGAGGGCCAGGAGGGGTCCAGTCGGGGGCAAGAAGGCCAGGCACAGGAAGGCTGTATTTCCTGTGACCTCAGGGAGAGGTGACTATAGCCTAGATCAGAGTGGTGGTTATAGGACAGGGGGAAGTAACTGCATTTGGTAACCATATTTAAAAATCAACTCTATGGGCCAGGTGCGGTGGCTCACGCCTGTAATCTTAGCACTCTGGGAGGCCGAGGCGGGCGGATTGCTCGAGGTCAGGAGTTCGAAACCAGCATGAGCAAGAGTGAGACCCCGTCTCTCCTATAAATAGAAAGAAATTAATTGGCCAACTAATATATATAGAAAAAAATTAGCCGGGCATGGCAGCACATGCCTGTAGTCCCAGCTACTCGGGAGGCTGAGGCAGGAGGATTGCTTGAGCCCAGGAGTTTGAGGTTGTTGTGAGCTAGGCTGATGCTACGGCACTCACTCTAGCCTGTGCAACAAAGCGAGACTCTGTCTCAAAAAAAAAAAAAAAATATATCAACTCTATGGGGATTTGTGACTGATTAGCCCAAAGGGTGAGGGAGAGAGAGGAAGGAGAATTGTGCCCAGCTTTCTGGCTCCAGAAGCTGAGGAGGAAGTGGTGCTGACCATTAACTAGGAAACACAAGAAGGAAGTGGTTTGGGGGGTGTTAGGGAACGAGTTAGTTCAATTTTGGACATATTGAGGTTTAGGTTTCTGATGCGCTCTTGGAGATTTCTCATAGACAGTGGACATGCCAGGCTGGAGCTGAGATGCTGGAGCTAGAGATGGGAATCACAGTCACCGCTGTGTGGTGATGTCGGGTTGTAGTCTCTTCTCGGTTCTTGGTGTGCTCTTGGCCAAAGAATGACCAGACACATCAAAAGCAAGGCAAGTGGGAAACAAAGTTGATTGACTAAGGACAAGATAGGTTTACAGAGCAAGAGCAAGAGCAAGATATAGCTTCACTGTGTAAGGGTAAGATATGTTGGCCACAGACAGCGAACAGACCCCCTGTCCTAACAAAAGGGCCTTTGATATGGTCTGGGGTCTTGTTTTATGGTGTCTAGGCTGGCCCTCCTCATGGTTCAAATGGCACCATCAAACCACTTTGATTGACAGGTAGGAGTTACTTAACCTGAGTTTTACTACACATGTGGATTTCCCATGAGCCTCTCTGAAAGTCCATGGGGTGGGGGGCTGAACCACAATGTAGATTTAAGCTAATGATGTGATAATTAGCCTTAGGTTGTTCTAGGTCACCTTCCAGACCCTGTTGTACCTGTGCTGCTTGGCCCATGGGCTAGGGAATTCTCTGCATTCTTTTGCAGTTGACACACTAAGTTGTGATTGGCAAACTGGTAGGGCATGCCCTCACCCCCAGTTGTGGCATTTGTTCAGGTGCCGCCTTTGTCGCCTTTGTCCCCAAGAGGGTCGGAGGTCCCTTGCTGTCTACCTAACAGTAAGGGTTCCTAGACAGCATTGGGGAACACAAGTGTTGGAAGGTCTAAAAAGCAGGTGATCAGAGGAAAAGAAGGGCCTCAGAGGAGACTGAGCAGGAGTGGCCAGAGAGATAGGATTAAAACCAGGAGAGGCTAGGGTCACAGGCCCCATGAAAACAGCACTTGGTGAAAAGGGGTGTGGTCAGTGGGGTAAGGCTGCTCGGAGACAATAAGAAAGATCACAAGTGAAAATATCCATTGGCTTTAGCAAAAAGAAGGTAAAAGTCATTGGTTATTTCATTAAGTGTGCTTTCTTTCAGTGGTTTGGAAGTGGGCACAAAGCAGATTGCATTGGATTGAAGAATAGACAGTAAATTAAATTGACTATTTAAAGATGTTTGGCTGTATGGAGAAGAGAGTGGCAAAGTCATATTTGTAGCAGGTCACAAGGTCTGGGGAGAGTTTTTATTTTTTACTTTTAGTTTTGGCTGGGAGACATGGGAGGGCCCAGAAAGTCTCAGACAAAGAAAGCTGCTGGAGAGAGTAGGTAGTGGCATGGGACTGTGAGTCCGGCTAGAGGACAGAGCCTGGGACCACAGGCAGGGCATATCTTCCACCAACTCAGGAGGAGGGACAGGTGTGAATGCGCTATAGGGACACTTCCAGGTGATGGCTCCCATTCTCTTTGTGACAGGTCATTTAGGAGTAAGAGGTACCCGCTCCAGGCCAGACTCTCCCTCCTTGAAGTACGGTCTTCCCTGGGCTGCTGTGACTGGCCCCCTTGGCCAGTCCTCCTGGGTTTGGTCTCTTGCTTCTGCCTTTCAGCCACTCCGCCTTTCTTGTGTGTTCTTCCCCTTCTAACCGTCCTCCATACATTTGTATGCCACAGGATTCTGGACCTATGGAGGAGAAACATCCCTCCTCACCCTGCCATTTTTGGAAAGGCAGAGCAGAGAAGCTCAGTCCTGAGGACTGGGTTACTAGGAAAAACAAAATTGGAGCCAGCCATTGGCAAGGCAGGCCATATAGAACCCCAGCAGGTCATTTTGGGCCCTTCAGCTGGGTCAGCCTGGCTATAGGGACCGGTCAGTTTCAGGGTCTCTGCTGGAATAAGCCCACAGGCAGTAGAAAAGAGGAGGAAGCTGCTTTAGGTAAAACAAAGCCAAGGAGATCTTCCGTGATTGCAAAGCAGGCCAGCCCTTACTATAAGACTGCCTTATTGGACTTCATTTTGACCTTCAGTGTGATCTCGGCTCTTTTGTCAACTCAGCAAGGCTTCACTAAATGTTACATGGAGTACAGGGTCAGTTCTGTATGTGATAACTCAAGTACAAAAACGAGCACTTGAGAGATGATGGTTGGGGGGATGGTGGTAAGCAGTCCAGAACCAGAGGTATGGGTACAGTTCTGCTGTGCTTCTGGAAGGAATCTCAGATGTTGCTTTCTCACTTTTATCCTGTTGGCACAGTGTGGTTGTTCTGAAGAGGCCACGTTTAGGTAAGCGAGCTGTAACTAGAAGCCTGATCAGTCTTTGTATGCTAGAACTAGACAGTGATCCTAAACATGGGCTTTTAAAAATAACATGCATTTGAGCCCAGCCTGTAGAATTAGACAGAATAAGATCATTTGCTGTGATCCTCTTCATTTTTAATTTTAATTAGATGCGCAGAAGCATAAAGTCATAGGGTTTTGCCATAAGGGGCTTGAGCTCGTTTCAGGCCCCTCATTTAGTGACTTGTCCAGGGTCACCCAGCACATCAATTGCTGGGTGGACACTAGACCCTAACTCCCCTGACCTTGTCTGTACTTAATGCCACAATGCCTTTAAGGTAACGGAGAATGTAGCCGTCAGCCAAGTGAAAGCCACGTGGGAGAACTGCGAGGAGCCCTCAGTCTCCTGCCTCTGGGTCCTTCTCTTTTCTGCCGCACCTTGCTGCCCCCGACTGAAAGTATGTTGTGCACAGGCAGGACAGGGTCGAGGCAGAAATACTTCCCTTGTAAGGGCATTTCCCATAAGCACCAGCCAGGTGCTTAGAATGCGCTTGTCTTGCCTTTGTGTCGTTGAAGGAAACGCGCGGGCAGACCTAGGTCCTGTCTCTAACCTGCGGCGTTGCAGGCTCCCTGGATCCACTCAGCTGTGCTGGTGAGGAAAGAAAAGTGTTGGCAGCGTTGGGAGGAGCCAGTGCTTCTAGTGGCCTTTTGTGCCCCGTCAGCCAGCTGGTTCACACTTGCTGCTGTGGTCAGACGGTTTCCCTCAGCCTCGGGTTCACACTCGCCACCAAGCGCACATCGGGTTCTGGAACACCCTGTGGGCAGACGGAGTGTATGTCTAGGCAACAGCAGCAAAACGGGAGCGCTGAAAACGTTGTTTTTTTTTTTTTTAATTTTGTATTTGTTATTTTAATAAAGATAGCTTCTTGCTGGATTTTCTCATAGATGTTTTACAGTTGTGTATATTTTTAACTAAAAAAAAATCCAAATGGACAAGAGATCCAAGAATAGTCTGTTAAATTCCTGTATATCCTTCACCTAGATTTACCAGCTGTTCACATTTTGCACATTGGCTTTCTCCCCCTCTATATAATATATATACATATATTATAATTATTACTATTATTTTGCTGAACCATTTGAAAGTAAATTGAAGACATTGTGAGCTTTCATTCCTAAATACCTCAGTCTGTATTTCTTATGAACAAGAACATTATCTTACATAATTCGCAATATAGTTATCCAATCTAGGAAATTTAATATTGATACAATGCTATTACAGGTTGAACATTTTTAATCTGAAATCTTCAGTGTTCCAAAATCTGAAAGTTTCTGAACTCTAATGTGACACCACAAGTGGGAAATTCCACATATAAATACTAAACACAAACTTTGTTTCATATACAAAATTATGGAAAATAGTGTATAAAATTACCTTCAGGCTGTGTGTTTAAGGTATATGTGAAACATAAATGAATTTCATGTTCAGACATGGGTCCCATCCCCAAGATACCTCATTTTTTACATATATATATATATATATATACACTCCAAAATCTGAAAAAAATCCAAAACACTCAAGGGATACCCAACCTGTATGGAATGTGCAGTCCACATTCAAATTTGGCCATTTGTCCCCATTACTTCCGCTTATGAAGCGTGCTTTTATTCTAACTGTTCATCAACGAGAGAAGATGACAAGGTAGATTGCCAACGTCGTATTCTGCACTTTTATCTTCTTTTTTATTTTAGATTTCTAGTTACTGGTCCTCCACTAGAACACCTTCAACTAGTAGTTATAAGACTGCCGAGGGATGTGGGACTTCGGTATACTGCACTGTTTGCATTGTGGTAGATGTTAAAGTAACAAGTCATACAGATTTATTTCCCAAGATGGACATTCAACATAAGGATATGTTTTCATTTTCAAAGATTTAGAAATTATTAGGTGGATTCTTTTACTACTATTCAAAAATGAGCCCATCTGCAGGTATTGCTGGTTTTAACAATATACTTTGGCCCTTTGTCTAGAAATAATGATCCTCAATTAAAACTACAAATCAAACACTGCCTTAGCACCAGGGGGCAGAGTCGGGCTTGCTGAGACACTGGAGTGGGGAATTTTCTAACTCAGTGTTCCATAGTTGGGTTTTAATCATTTCATTCCTGATAGAAACGTGCTCACTACTGAGGTCACTAATTAGCTTATCCTGATTTGTTTCATAGTTAAACCACCCTTTTCCTGAGGTTTATATACATATGCTATTTCAGTGATAGTGAAATAGAAACCTACTGTCAATCTCATCAAAGATGTACTTGCTAAATCCTGAGGGACTAGTTTCTGTTTTCCTTTTAGCATATTCCGCATTCACAAATAAAGTGTCTTTGTGTTATGTCATGAATTTACATAAGACTGCTTTGGCCTTAGAGTGTTTATAAAACATTAATGGATTAAAGAACCAGGGGATGAAGATAGGATGCTAATACCTGGTTATCACTTGGTAGGAACTGGTTCAGCAAAGTGGTTTAAATTGTCTGACCAAGCCAAACTACAGAGGTAGTTGCATTATGACAAGGATTATAAAGAGATTATGGTCTATTTAAAATAAATCCTCAGCCTCTCTTCAGCCTCATTAGCAATTAGCAAGAAAGTGAACACAGGGATTCCTTTCTCTGCACTTGGTTCTCCATTGCATCCTAAGAGGTTAGAACACAATTAGGCATTCTGTCCTTGCCACCAAAAGTCAGCTTCTTTTGATGCTTGGCAGTCTGCCAGCTTCTTGAGCTCTACAGTATCTGCCTCTTGGAGAACGTGTTCAGTACACCGGGATGTCTGATTTTCTTAAATCAATAAGTCTAGAATGCTTTCTATCAATTATTTTAAAAAAACAAAAACTCATTGCTTCCCTCTTCCATGATATCAGGGAGTGGACCTTTTAAATCTGGAAAATTATATCTGTTGTTGTTCTGGCAAGGCTGATGACAGTGTGGGCTTTTGTTCATTGGCATTTTCTAAGAGCATGTTGGAGACATTTATACATTCAGGCTTACATGTTGACTGTATGGTAGGGCTCAGTCCTACAAGAATTTAATGACTTAGGAAATGAGAACATCTTTGTGTTATTGCAGAAAATCTGATGCCTTAGAGGTTCCATATCCTCCACTCTTGATGAAAGAAGCCTTTTGGCATATTTTGATCCAGAGGGTGTTGGTTGCCATTCACCTGCTTTTCAGAGACGTACAGCGAAACCATCAGACCATTGTCAGTTAATCCCTATTGCCTAGCATTTTATTTGCCAAAGCAAAATTTAGCATTGATAAAACTATCGGGTAGGTCATTTAGGATTGACTTTCTGTCATATCACTAAAGAAACAAGTTCAATGAACATTAGATTTGGCAAAACCCTGTTTCTTATACCGCTGTGCTTATGTAACTTTATGAGAATCCAGAGGCTAAAATAAAGAAAACAGCCTAATATTAAATAAGAGCTAAATATGGATTTAAAGAAACTCTGTCAGCCTGAATAAAACAAAGGTCTGATTACAACATTTAATTACTATAATTTTAGTTGTAAACATCCTTTGGCTCCAAATCTTTCTCCTGAAAAGCTGCCATTTGTTTGTCAAGATACTTAAAATAATAAGTCTTTGTTTCCACAGACCTTGGGTTTATTCTAAACCACTTAGAAAGATGTGTCAGAGTTCTTGAAGCCCACAGATATGAAATGCCCAATTTCTCTTGGCCCTTGCCTGTTGGACTTCTCCAAACAGACTGGCTTAGCTGCTGTAGCTACAATGCACTTACTAATTGGCACAGCACCTGCAATCAATTAGGGAAGCTTCAATTATCCAAACCAAAGCCACCCACCCAAAGATTAATTTTCTGCTCTATTTCCTATCAAAAACATGGCATATTTAGCTCTCAGTCTAGTCCTTCAGTGGAGTGCATTTTAGACATATAAAACTACATCATTTTTTTGTTAATTGTATTTGTTCCTTCAATTCAGCAGCCTTCCCCTCGTAATATCACACCCACCAGTTCTTTCAAAATTGTTCTTTTTTTGTTTTGTTGCCTTTCCAAAATGCTGAGATGACAGAGAAAAGATGTTAGTTGGGAACTTTTCTTTTGAAGTATGGCTTTATTTTTCTTTGTAAAATGCCCAGTTTTTTCTGTTACAGCATCTCTGAACTTGCACAACCTGAAAGCTTTGTGTAATGGCGTCTCTGAATTTAATAGCACTCATAAATATTATCTTAAAATTGCCCCATGTCACTGGCCCATGTAAATACAGAGATTTAACCCTCCCTCCTTCTAAAGAGTATTTTTTCTGTTGTGTTTCTCAGAGCAGGAACAAGCCATAAATCGGGCTGGTATTGTTCAAGAAGATGTGCAGCCACCAGGTAAACTGTGACACACAAAAAAATCAAAACAAACTTTCATTTGTACTACTGCGTCACGTGGTGTGTGTGTGTTTGCTTTGCCACGGAGAGTGAGAGAGTGGCTTTTTAGCTTGGAGACCAGATTGTGATTTTGCTATTTATTTCACAACAGTTGCCATTTTATAGGTGCCACCCAAGACTTCATTTTAATATTTCACTCCAGAATACTTTTTGCAAATTTGCCACATTCCTCTTTTGCATTTGATAAGTAGGCATACAAATGTTAGCAAGTGTGCAATTAAATATGAAACGTGAATAGCTATTTTGCAGACTTATTTACCAAGCACCTATTTAAACATTACCCTCGTGGGAGAATAGTGTTTACTTGTAAGCTATTTTAGTTGATGTGAGATTCTGCTTTGTATAAAAGCTCAAAAAGCTCCCTTTATGGATGTATGGTTAGTTCTTTTAAGACCATCCATGTTGGCTGAAAATAAGAGGTTTCCAGTTTATTAACCAAAATGCTTCTAATCTGTGACAGCATTCATATTTATTTATTTGTTTGTTTGTTTTTTTAACTAGGCCAGATCCATGTCTTCCTGTTTTGGGGCAATTCCTGAGCTATTTTAAAAGTCCCTGGTGCTGCCATGGCTTCCTAGCCATTTCATGCTAGTATCCCTCCAGCCTGCTCAGACCATCTCAGGCTACACTGCAAATTGCACAGCTCAATTCTCATGGCATTTTGTTTGGGGTTCAGGGAAGTGGTAGGACATTTAAAATTGAATCCTGTTTTTATTCATGTTTCTTTCTATAGGGTTAAAAGTGTGGTCTGATCCATTTGGCAGGAAGTGAGAAGGCTGTCACCAACTCTGATTAGGAAAGGAGGTTTTGTGCTTTCAGTTCTGCATCAAGTACAATCAATCACCTCACCACGGGACAATGGCTGAAGAAGAAAACTCTGTATTGCTGTAAATGAGAGTACTTTAATAAATGACTGTGCACAAGGATTAATATTTCCCTTCTTAAACATCAAAAGAACCCTGGAACAAATTATACCATTAGGAAGGTTTTCATGATTGGGTCAACTTTCCAAAAATGAAGCTGTCTCACCCAGCTGTGTTTAGAGGCAATCTGCTTATTATTCCGCCTTTACCACTTACCCAAGTGAGCTGTGATGTGAATACAAGCAACCAGTGGGCTTGAGAAGGTCCAGGTCTGTTTTGCCGTCTTCCAAATAAGAGATTTCAGCAAAAAACCACCATACTGAGCTGCCTCAGAGGGCCGTATGAAAATCAGGTTGATAAAGCTCTTTGAGGACAAGGTACTTTGTGCTGTTTAAGAATAAACAGTTCAGCTTAACCATGTCTTGTTGAAGATTACTCCATGTTGGAAAATAAATATGCAGCAAGTCAAACTGGATGAGTACACATGCATAGAAATCAGAGATGAATTAACAGAAGTGAAAGTATGTATATTAAAATGATTATTTTTTACTTCATGATGGTATTGTTAAGTTTTTTAATCTTTTTTGGTAAAGTGATTAAATTCTAGTACCAAGAAGTGAAGTTTGACTAGATATTTGTGTGGTATTCATCTGTATACACATAAATATTTTAGAGGTAAACAGCAAATTTATTGAGACAAATATTGATTCTCTACCAGGTTCCTCACTAGATGCTGCAAAGATGAAAATGAGAATACAGGCTGAGTATCCCTTACCTGAAAAGCTTAGGACTAGAAGTATTTTAGATTTTAGATTTTTTGTTTTGAATTTTGGAATATTTGAACATGCATAATGAGATATCTTGGGGATGGGACCCAAATGTAAACACAAAATTCACTTGTTCCATGTATACCTTATACATATAGCCTGAATTTAATTTTATATATTTTAAATGTGTTCATGAAACAAAATTTTTACTATCACTGTCACATGAGGTCAGGTTTGGAATTTTCCACTTGTGGTATCATGTTAGCACTCAAAATATTCATATTTTGGAACATTTCAGATTTTCAGGTTAGGGACGCTTGACCTGTCCTCCTTCCTTTCTCCCTTCCTACCCACTCTACTCTCTCTTCCCTTCCTTGTTTCTTCTTTCCTTGCTCTGTCTGGCCCTTTACTAGATTATATGCTTTTGAAGAGGCACATAGTTTTCATTTTTACACCAAGAGTGCCTTGCCTATTACTGTAGGTTCTTGATAAGCTGCCTGATGACACAATTCTATTATTGTGAACTTGGAGTTTTCTTCACAGACAACTGGCCCAATTAAGTAATTACTGTCAAAAAGAAATAAGATCGATAGTTCAAAACCAGAGTCGTCATTTTGGTAGGCATTCCGTAACATTTAATTGACTTCTAGTTTACAACCAGGTAAAGGAAGTTGGCTCATTAGGAGTACAATTTGACCACTAATTTCCTTGGAGGGGTCACCAGGAAGTTACATAACTTAAAATCAAACATTTTGTGGGAGCTTAATTGAGATTTCTTTATGACCGAGGCAAGCGCGAGGTACCATCTGCTTTGGAAGATGTCCAGGCTAAAATGACTGTGATTTCTGGGGCCTCAATGACTGTCTTTGATGGAACAGACCCAGATTTGTCTCCTGAAGGGGGATCTTAGTCATGCCCTCAGTTCACCTCTTTGCAGAGATAAAGGGGTTCTCTATCGTGCTCAGTCCTGCCTTGTCATTTATAAAGGGATCACTCTTCATGTAGTCAGAGATGTAACTTCAGACTCTGCTGCCATCACTTGACAGATGCCAGGTTGTGAGAGGTGCCATTCAGGAGGATTGACGGAGGTCTTGCTGTTCATCTCTGGGTTTCCCAGCTGTGTCCCAGGATAATGACAGCAGCACTTGGAAGAGGGATCTTGGTCTGATACATTTAGGAAGCAGAGTTGAAGTTGATTAGGTTTATTTGCTTCTAATTTGATGGTTTCCAAGAGAGGCATCACATTTCCCAAATGTATTTGATCATACAACATTTTTCACAGATTATCTTCTGGGGCTTGTAAAAGCAGCAGCATCCTTTATACCAATCATTCTTAAAGCTTTTGGGCTCAGGACCTATTTACACAATAAAAGTATTCAAGAACTCCAAAGTGAGTAAATATCTATAGACATCTATAGTAAATATCTATAGATCTATAGTAAATATCTATAGATATTTACTGCATTAGAAATTAAAACAAATTTGAAAAATGTTTATAAAATATTAATCAATAACAAACCCATGTAAGTTAATATGACATACTTCTGTGTGAATAATTTATTTTTTAAGACAAAAAATAATAGTTTGCAAATCTCTTTAATGTCTGTCTGGCTTAACAGAAAATAACTGGATTCATCCATTGGTTTTTTTTTATTTTTGGGGTTTGAGACAGAGTCTCATTCTGTCTCCCAGGGTGGAGTGCAGTGGCATCATCATAGCTCACTGCAGCCTCAAATTCCTGGGCTCAAGTGATCCTCCTGCCTCAGCCTCCTGAGTAGCTGCTACTACAGGCACATCACCATGCCTGGCTATTTTTTTATATATTTTGTGGAGATGGGGTCTTGCTATGTTGACCAGACTGGTCTTAAACTCCTGGCTTCAAGTGATCCTCCTGCCTCGGCCTCCCAAAGTGCTAGGATTACAGGTATGAGCCACTACGCCTAGCCTTCATACCTGCTACTTTTGATCTGTTGCTATATCATACACTGTGTGGCCTGTAGAAAATGCCTCTGCAGACACTCATAAGAGGAGAGTACAAAAGACAAAAAAGCTTTAGTAGTAGTATAAAAATAAATTTTGACCATGCAGAATTTCTAAAAAGTTTTCAGAGACCTCTAGAGGTCCCTGGACCATACTTTGAGCCCACATTTTTTCTCTTGATTTTAGACCTTTTGAGAATTGTGTATCTGGATTGCATTACTTTCCTAAAAAGTTACTTGTAGTGAACTGTTCTTTGGCATGGCCTTATTGAGGGGGGTTAGAATGAGAGGGGAGATAGTGGTAACATTTCTTATCATTACTACTGAGATGAAATGGTTGGACCCTATATTTGCAATGTCAAACAATATCCCCTTTAGGAAGACTTGAATTGACATTTTTAAAATCTCAGAACTAGAAATAGCAACATTGCCGAACAGTTGGTACTTTTGTCCTGTGGACATTGAATTGTGTAACTTGATACTCTCTTTGTATTGGCTGATAGGAAGCTCAACCACATTTGTGGTTCAGCTGTTTAAAAAGTGCCTAAGACCTTGTGCAGTGCATTTGGACCATAATATTCACTTCATTATTTTTTCGCCATGCCCTTGTTTTCCTTCCTGCTTACTCACTTCAGTTTTCTCATATATTTCATGTTAGACTCCTCATTTTAAAATGAGGCAGGGTGTAAATAATATGTATTCAATTGAAGAGCCAGTTCTAATCTAGTAAGAGAAATGAAGTAAATTCACAAATGAGATTCAAAAAATATGAATACTAAAGTGCCTTGAAAAACTACCTTTAAAGAGATCAGAGAATCTACTAACTGGATGTATGCAAACCCTGTGTCATGCTGGGCATCCTGGATAGCAACAGGCTTTACCTGTCCTTACAGACATTTGCAGCTGTCTTTGCCCAACATTTTATCCCCTCTCTCATGGTCACCTCTACCCCCATCTGCCACCCCTACATGTGCTCATCCCTCTCCCATCGTCTCCCCACTCGGGTGGAGCTAACTCCACCCTGTGCTCCAGGAGTAGGCCTGTGGTCCGAGTCTGGCCAATCAGCACACTGTGCAAACTCCTAACCACAGGGACTGGATCCAGGATAGACAGGTGACCCAAACCAAGCTAATCTGGTCAAGGTAGAGTTAGTCTTGCCTCTTGGTTTGCGTGGTCAGACTAAAGGAGGAGCTCTTGTTCACCAGACTTAGAGCTACTGGCAGCCATCTTGCCACAATGTGGGCAGAGATAGTTGGAGACTAACAGAGTAGAAGGGAACAATGGGACAGAAGACAGGTCCTAATGATGTTATTCAAGCCTCCTGGACTCAACTGTATCGGAAGCAAGGCTATCTCTGGATTAATAAAATTAATAAAGTTCCTTTTTGTACCAATTTAGATTAGCTTTTGGTCACTTGTAACCAAAAGTCTTTGCAAGTGTCTTAGTTTGTTTTATGCTGCTATAACAGAATACCTGAGATTGGGCAATTTATGATGAACAGAAATGTATTTGGCTTATGGTTCTGGAGGCTGGGAAGTCCCAAGACTGAGGGGCAGCATCTGGTCCTACTGTGTCAATACCTGGTGAAGGCAGAAGGCAAGGGGGTGGGGGAGGCTGGACTTGTCCTTTTATCAGGAACCTACTCCTGAGATAACTAACCCACTCCCACTACAGTGGCATTAATCCATTCGTAAAGGCACCTCTTGAAGTTTCCACCTCTCAGCACTATTGCATTGGGGATTAAGTTTCCAACCCATGAACTTTGGGGGACACATTAAAACTGTAGCAACAAGGCATCTTGTTTTATATTTTTTAAATTATTTTTCTGAAATGTATTCCACATGACATTTCTACCTTAAATAAAAGATATCAAACATAATTTAGCCTTTTCTTATGACTTGGGCTTATTGTTGTTGTGCAGTTGTGCCTAACGGCTGTTGAGCTGAATCAGACAGTTACCCCTTCATTCTGTGATGGGGACTTGCTATGCTTGTGAGATTTCTGGCTTTTCTGGTTTTCTTATCTCTGTCTTGTCTCACAGCTGCCGGGAGCAGACTCCAGCTCTGATTTGCTGATTCTAGTGTGCTGTGCAGTGAGCTTGGAAAGCAGTTAGCCAAAATGATGGAATCTGGCATCAAATGAAAGCAAGTGCTTTTAATGTGGGTTTAGAGGTTCTGGTATGGATAAATTGCAATGGCTTGGTGACATTTGGGCTGCCCTGAGGCTTTTTGGTATTTGCTTTCTGTTTCTGCCTTGTTCTGGATAGATGAGATTTCCTGAGGTTTCTGTTGGTTAAGTTTTTACTATAACATGACTTTCACCCTAACGGATTGTGCAGTGTGAGCAAAAGAGCTAGGTTTGAAACGTTTTGTGACTTGTCAAAGTTACTCGGTTTTCTTAAAAGAAGGAATAGTAACCCACAGCAGTATTTGGAACCTCAGGCTGAACTTTAACTTGGTTTTCTTCTTTTCTGAAACAGCCACTTTATTTTTCAACCTCTAATAGCATACAGTGCCTTGCAAGGAGGGGCAAAAGCATAGTTGTATCAAAGGGAGTGGTTCACTTAAGGCAGATGTGGAATCAATTTGGACAAATGTGAGTTGCCATCTTCTGTACTTTTCTGCTAAGTATATGTGCCCTGGAATACATCGGAGCCACTTAAGCCTCATAAATACGCTGCTGGAATATTGGGTAAACACGTGTAAGGGGCACACAGCTCGCCGCCTTCGCTAAGTGAACCCCCAAAGGGGTGCACTCCCTCTGAAAAGCTCAAATGAAGACAGTTGTGTTGAGGAAAAAATCACCAATGTCTGCTTTCGAAATGACTAGGAAAACGGCAGCTCTGGTGATTTATCTTGTGGAATAAGCAAAGTCTGCTTTCTAAGATGGCTATTTTTTATTTTTATTTTTATTTTTCCTCTCACTCGATGTGGACTCACATTACATACATAAAAATACCCAAGCACAAAACTGTTCTTGGTTTTTGTCATCAAGAGAGCGGCTCTGGTTTTTACAGGTCTTTGCCTTTTGAAAGTGAGGCCTGTGGCTTGGGGAACAAGTTAGGCAGAGCACTGAGAATCCCACATGGGTCACTTCTGTTTCTTCGCTGACTAAATGTATTATTCCTCGGCCAGTTTTAGCTCCCCATTATCTCTGCACCAGCTCTTGCCAAACAGTGATTTTCAGTGACGATGTGAGTCATTGCAGTGAGTGTCAGAGGCCTTGATAAGGCCAGTCCCCAAGGCCCCGAACTCCTGGATGTGTTTCCAGTAAAGGAACAGGAAGACTAATGAGAGCGGGTGCTTCGCTAGTCTCTAGAATGCCCACCACGATCACACAAACAGGGCTGCACTGTGTCCCCTTAAAATTCCTATGTCGAAGTCCTAACCCCCAGGACCTCAGAATATGACTATATTTGGAGACAAAGCCTTTAAAGAGGTAATTAAGATAAAACAAGGTCAGAGGTGTGGTCCCTAATCCAGTATGACTGGTGTCCTTATTAGAAAAGAAAATCAGCACATAGACACACAGAGGGACAGCAGCGAGGACACAGGGAGAAGAAGGCTGTCTAGAAGCCAGGGAAGACGGGCCTAGAAGAGACCAATGCTGCCAAACCTTGACATCAGACTTCTAGCCTCCAGAATTGTGAGACAGTAAATTTCTGTTGTTTAAGCCACCCAGGCCGTGGTCCTTTGCTATGGGGACCCTGGCAGACTGATAAGTAGGTGTGCTGTCAACATCTGCTGGTAATACAGTCACAACACCAGGTAGCCACGACACTTTGTGGGAAATGAGCAGTGGAAACTTATAAAAAGCCAAAACGGGAAGTGGTCCCCCAAAGCTGGTAAGATCAGGGGAAGCCTTTTGTGGAGGACAAATTTAAAACAGGTCTGGAAATAACTGTAGTATTTAGAAAGGTGGCGAGAAGAGAAGAGGGTGTCCCAGGACTGAAGGCGGAGAGGGGCGTGGAGAAGTGCAGGAAGACACTGTTGGCGTTTGGAGGACCACGGGTGGGTGGGGCTCACTGGGGGGCCACTCGGGGCAGTGACGCGGGAAGAAGGTTGGCACAGGAACCCTGTGGAAGAAATCCGGCCTCAGGCTTAGGTCATGATCCCATGAGACTAAGAGATTCTGTTTTAGAGGAACATTCATGGGAAGTAATAGAGCAATTGTTAAAGGCAAGGAGGGACTCTGAAAAGAGACCACCAAGTACAAATGCTGGCTCTGCTTACCAACCGTGTGACCTTAGAGGAGCTACTTAATCTCTTTCTCATTCAATTTCTTCATCTCTGAACTGTCAGTCCTGTCCCCACCCCCTTCTAGCACTGTATGGTTTATATGTTTAATGTGAATATTGTTCTGCAACACTGCATATA